GGGGGGGGCGGGGTACTCTAAGTCGTGCATGCCGTAGTCGTTTGACCATTGACCTTGCATCCCTACAAAGCCGGGGCGAAGCACGCCGGGTTCTCACCGGACCAGGCTCTCACATCACCAAGCGCGAAGCGCCGTGAGGTATTTGGCGAGTCGCATGAAGGGTGAGCTGCCATCCTGCTAAGGGTGTTCGGCATCTTGTGCATACTTCCTTGCGTACGGATGACAGCTACGTATGACTTAATTTATTTTCTGGTGCTTTCACTTCCAGAGACAGTTGTAAGCACTGTGTAACTGCCTCGAGGAAGCTTGACCATTTTAACACAACGTGGTGCGATCATCCCCCGTTGCGCGGAGTGAGGTTTCTCCACCCCGCACAACATGATCTACTCGACCACCATTATGGTTACCGCCAAAAAAAAAAAAACGAGGTAAAAAAAAAACGGTAACCTGGTTGCCGAGTTCACGAAGTGAATTGGCTTGTTTTACAACGTCGTTGCCAAGCGACGAAAACGGGGGGGGGGGGAGCGATCAAAGGACATGAAGTCGTGTCCGCAGAATGTGGGTTCTTTGTGCAAGAGATTGCTTTTTGGAAGAGATTGCGAGAGAGATTTCCAGAGGTGTTGCCTATACTGCTATCTACAATACAAAGCCGTCGATGGAGCAATCCACGTCACCGCAACACCAGCGGCCGGTAGGGTAGGTAGGTCATAGTCCACGACGAGTCACACCACAAAATGGGGGAGCGAGAGGGAGGAGAGAGAAAGAGACAGACAGAGAGAGACAGACACACAGAGAAATCACGAACTCTTCCAGGGCGCCGATCTGTACCTGTACCTCGCACACAGACACCTAGATAAGAGACTCTCAAGAAAACCAACCGCAACAAGCGATGAGGCCATGAGACCCTATCTCGACCAAGGCTGTCCTCTCCCCACAGTTACTCCTGCTCTCGCCCCCTCGTGTACCCCCCCCCCACAGGGCTCTCACCCTCCGCCGCCTCCGCCGCTAGCACTCCCCCCACTTGTCGCCGCCGCCTTTGCCGCCAAAACACGCTGCTCCTCGCACAACGCCTCCACCCTAGCCACCCAGTCCCACAGGTGCCACCCGGACAAGATGTCGGCGGTGGCGATGGCCATGATGGCGCCACTGCCGCCGCCGCCGCCGCCGGTCCCCGTGCCGGTTGTCGACGACACCGCGCGGTTTTCCAACAGGGGGTGGATATCCGAAGAGGAAGAGATTCCAACCTGCAGGGGTAACGGGGGGGGGAGGGGGGGGGGGGGGGGTACTCATAGTCGTGCATGCCGTAGTCGTTAGACCATTGACCTCGCATCCCTACAAAGCCGGGACGGAGCACGCCGGGTTCCCACTGGACCAGGCTCTCACATCACCAAGCTCATGAATACGTGTGCCGCAGTCGGCATCAGACAGTAGACCTCGCGTCCGGGACAGAGCGATATACGCCGGGTTTCCGCCGGCCCAGACTCCCTACGTTCTTACGATGGTGAATCAGAAGCTGGTTGTCATTCTTGCGTTTGAAAAGTGAAAGGTGCCCAACCAGACATGCCACCATTGGGTTGGTTGGGTATCGTCGTCGTCGTCGGGGGGGGCGCATCGTCCGCGACCGGAGTAAATGCTTGCCGTACGCACGACGTCTGCCACCGCCCGCCATCATCCACGGACAAAGGCCGCCGAGCAACGCATCCTCCGGCCGGGTGTGGACGCCCGCCGACAATGTCGGCAGGAGTTCCCCGCAAAAGTCGACCTACAAACAGCACTGGACACGTCCACCAAAAAAGGTGGCAGCAAACTTGAAGCATACTACGAGGACACGGGGTCTACAGCGGCAACAAAAACAATCCGCCAAGACAGACGTGATTACTCGGGCGTCTGCCTAAAGTGGTACTACAGAGGACAGAGGTCTAGCAACAAATACAATCCGCGCCGACGGGAGGGAGTGGTTATGCGTGCGTCTGCCCACACTGCCGACCGCCCCGCCCACCTGGTTCGCGACTTCCTCGTCGAAGATGGTATCCCTGTTGTACACGGCATCAGACCTGTATTGCGCCTGCGCCCGCCACTTCATCACCTGCAAGGAATCCAAGAGGCACAGCGTCGGAGTTGTGGCAGAAGATATATCAAAGCTGAAAGAGGGCGAAAAAAGCGGTCAGGCAAGCAACAAGTCCGGCAACAAAAGCTGCTGAAAATATTGGGGCGGGTGGGGGGGGGGGGGGGAACCCCTCTCGGAGAGTCATTACCGTATCCCGTTTGGAACCAGGTACGTGCTGAGACCAAGCGAAAACAAATTGTTGCAACGACAAACCGATGTCGGCCAGCAACGTAACAACGCGCGGGAACAAGTTGACACTAGGATATGATCAACAGACATACAGACAGACAGGACGAGAGAAGGACAGACACCACAGAGGCAGAGACAGAAGGACAAGACAGGCAGACCCTACCACGCCGCTTCTTAGCACTGGAACCAACATCCTCCGCGTTTCCATCACGCCGGGGAGGCGGTCGAGACGACCCCAAAAGGGAAAGTTTCAAGGCCACCGTGTCACAGAAGTCACGTACCTCGGTCATGAGGGGAGGCTTGCCGCTGCGTGCTATCCTGCGCCTCGCCACGTCGGCAAGCTCTCGCTGTCCAAGTTCCTGCCCGCTCAGGCTCGCGGCGTCCTCGCCCAGCCGCGTCATCAGGCCCGACCTCTGCGTTGACCGCACAGATTTCATTTGCCCCAGCAACACCAGGAGAAAAGGAGAAGGAAGCATGGGTCGCGTACCGTACGTGGCAGTCTTGATCTTGTTTGAGTCTGGATTTCTTCTCAACTCCCAGGTTGTTGCTGTCAAAGTGAGCAGCGTGCTTCTGTACCTATACTGAATTTACAAGATCGAATTCTTTTACGTATATCGAGGAGTGAAAATCGTTGCCGGGGGGCGCATTATCTAAAGTAATCTACGATACCACTTCTATACTACTCCTGCTACTACCGGACTTACGAGACATTGGTGCACCTTGGGGTTGTGATATCATGCGCCATCCACGACACCACTACTGCTATCACTACCACAGATACCGCTATCACGAAGTGCCGGGGGGGGTGTTGTCTGACGCCATCTACGATACCGCTTCTACTATTGCTACTGCCGCACTTACGAGACACGGTGCCTCGGGGGTGGGGGTGGTATCTTACATCATCCACACTACTATTATTGCTATAAAATAAAGGAGAGACGGTGTAGGTACCTCGGGGTTGCCTTCGGCCTCGCGGAATCCCTTGGTGTGACCCACATCCCCGTGCGCCGACGTCGCCATCGCCCTCGTCTGGAACCAGGGGCCGATGTTCTCCACGAAGGGCCCCCCGACCGTCTTTAGGTGCGAGAGCGCGCGAGAGAGAGCGTGGTGCAATAAATCGATTTCCCATGGTGCGGAGGAGGCGTTCGAGACGAAACGGTAACGATAACAGCGCGTTTTAGCCAGCACGGCGGCGGCGGCGGCGGCGGCGGCGGCGGAATAAAGGGTTTCTTTTCGTCGTCGTGGTTTCGGCCCGAAACATTCGGGGGAGGGGGGCGGGTGCATTCATGTAAACGCATGCCGTAGTCGTTGGACCATTGACCTCGCATACCTACAGCGCTGGGACGAAGCGACATGCCGGGTTTTCGCCGGCTCAGACTACGGCGGGGGCTCTGCCTGTCGCCGTTCAGCCGTTCCCGTGTGTGTCGTCGACGAAACGATGCGATTGTGGTGGGGCGATGACTATTGCGCGTACAGAAACACCGACGGCTTGCTGGCAAAGGAGTTGAACAAAAAAAAGCCGTCGAGCCTACATCCGGTCATTGACATAATTACAATTGCGTGCAATAATCGTGGGTGTGCAGAAGGGGTTGCGACAAGCCCTAACACACACAACGTACAAAGGGGTATCATCCAAGTGAGAGATGATGGGTTCATACTCCGCCCCTCACCACAACAGCACACACAACGTTCAACGTTCAACGTTCAAGGTGCCATCCAACCACGAGGAAAAAATTGCTATGTACAGCAGTGTACATGCGTACCAACCACCCCGGCGTATGAAATAAAACACCCGCTGATCATGCATACGTACCAGCGAGCGCACGACACGAAACCAGGAAGAGCTATGCACGCATACCAGCCAACCAGCGCACAACACCAACCCCCCCTCTCGTGTGCCACCACGACCCCCCCTCTCTCACCAGCATCCTCTGGGGAAACGTGACGGCAATGCGCTCGTCCTCCGCCAGGACCTGCGTGATCGCCTTGGTCACTGCCGCCGCCGCCGTCGCGCCGCCACCGCCGGCACCGGACAAGGCCCACGGCGCGATCGGGCGCGGGGTGACCCGTGGGGGCTGCCAGCTTACCCGGGAGACCGGGTGCTTCGTCAGCTCGTAGCGGGAAGGGATCTTAGTCAAAAGAGAGAAGGGGGGGGCGGGGGGAAGGGGGCACCGCAGGTTCGTTCTTGGGGTATGAACGAAACGTTCCGTCTCTCTCTCCCTCTCTCTCTCTCTCTCTCTCTCTCTCTCTCTCTCTCTCTCT